AGCATTATCAGTTTTGCTTTATTTCATGTTGCCGTAGCAAATTTAAGTTGCTCAAGTTCAAGACGTATATCCATATATTTAATTCGATTGGAATACTGTGTATATTCATAACAGTATATTTAATTCTTCTTGACACAGATTTTGCAACTATATTAAATATTGATATCGCAAAGTTTGTATTTTTTTTTTCTCCAAGGATTTTTTTTTTTTCCTCTAGAAACATGAAAATATTAAGCCAGCATAATTAAATGTATATTACCTAGCAATAAATGTATCCATGTGTCATGAGATGAGTTGAAATAAAATGTATGTATGTAAATATTGTATTCAATGTCTTCAAATATCAAAAGTATGCTGGAAGCCATGAAGAGAGCTTATATAAGCAAAGCCTGTTGCTCAATTCTTTTGTTTAATCAATAAAATATATTTGAAATGAAATATACAGCGATTGTATAACCCGATTGTACGGGTACAGGTAGGTACAGCGATTGTATAACCCGATTGTACGGGTACAGGTAGGAACAGCGATTGCATAACCCGATTGTACGAGTACAGGAAGGTACAGCGATTGTATAACCCGATTGTACGGGTACAGGTTGGTACAGAGATTGTATAACCCGATTGTACGGGTACAGGTAGGTACAGCGATTACATAACCCTATTGTACGAGTACAGGTAGGTACAGCGATGGTATAACCCGATTGTACGGGTACAGGTAGGTACAGCGATTGTATAACCCGTCATTGTATTGGAATAGGTATGTACAGCGATTGCATAACCCGTCATTGTATTGGTACAGGTAGTTACAACGATTGTATAACCCGTCATTGTATGGGTACAGGTAGGGACAGCGATTGTATAACCCGATTGTACGGGTACTGGTAGGTACAGCGATTGTATAACCCGCCATTGTATGGGTACAGGTAGGTACAGGGATTGCATAACCCGATTGTACGAGTACAGGTAGGTACAGCGATTGTATAACCCGATTGTACGGGTACAGGTAGGTACAGCGATTACATAACCCTATTGTACGAGTACAGGTAGGTACAGCGATTGTATAACCCGTCATTGTATTGTTACAGGTAGTTACAGCGATTGTATAACCCGTCATTGTATGGGTACAGGTAGGTACAGCGATTACATAACCCGATTGTACGAGTACAGGTAGGTACAGCGATTGTATGACCCGATTGTACGGGTACAGGTAGGTACAGCGATTGTATAACCCGTCAATGTATTGTTATAGGTAGTTACAGCGATTGTATAACCCGTCATTGTATGGGTACAGGTATGTAGAGCGATTGTATAACCCGATTGTACGGGTACAGGTAGGGACAGCGATTGCATAACACGATTGTACGGGTACAGGGAGGTACAGCGATTGTATAACCCGTCATTGTATGGGTACAGGTAGGGACAGCGATTGCATAACCCGATTGTACGAGTACAGGTAGGTATAGCGATTGTATAACCCGATTGTACGGGTACAGGGAGGTACAGCGATTGTATAACCCGTCATTGTATGGGTACAGGTAGGTACAGCGATTGCATAACACGATTGTACGGGTACAGGTAGGTACAACGATTCATAACCCGATTGTACGGGTACAGGTAGGTACAGCGATTGCATAACACGATTGTACGGGTACAGGTAGGTACAGCGATTGTATAACCCGTCATTGTATTGGAACAGGTATGTAGAGCGATTGTATAACCCGATTGTACGGGTACAGGTAGGTAAAGCGATTGTATAACCCGATTGTACGGGTACAGGTTGGTACATCGCAAAAACACGCATGATTGTATTGTTCAGGCAGTGGAATTAGAAACGCCGCGAGACTTGTGTTGCGGCTGCGCAATCACGCGGAACCTGATCTAAGAGTGTTTGTTTTGACAGCTTATTGATCCTGGTGACGATAAAATTATCAAATAATTAATATCTGAAATTATTTTTTAAATTGAATGGTGAATTAAAAAGGAGTTCTTGTTCTAATGTGTCATGAAAAATAACCCTCACACATCAAAGCCGCCATTTTAACTTGTTTATTTTTAAAAAACCCGTATTTTCAGAGATAAATTATTGATCTTTGCAAGTATTGTAAAAACTTCATTTTAAAAAGCTGGTTAGAAATATTATCAAATAATGAGTTTCTGAAGACCTTTTGAAATTGTCTAAAGAACAAAAACGGAGTTTGTGTTCTCATGAAACCAGAATCATTCCCGATATATAAACACAGCCACGATGTGCAATCTTTCGATATTTGGTGTTTTCTAAACTTAATCATTCAAGTTTACATTCAATGTAGCACTCCCAAACCGCATGGAAATCTTAATATTACCTTGATTTTCGATGTTTTCTCATGGCATAATTATGTTTTGAACACGACAGGATTATTGAATCCTGCAAACCGTATATCCAATATGGCGCAGGTGAAGCGTAGCTCACGATATGACATCCGGTTACCAGTGACCAATGGTAAGGCAAAGAGCAAGTTGCCAATTTCTGCAATATACGTCTCTGCCATAACGTTTTCTCTGCGATAGAATATCAAGTCTATCTTTTGCTGTAATAACTTTTTCCACCTTTTTTCATATTCTGATGGAGAATTGGGAACAATCTCTATATAACAAACAGTCTACCTCAAATAAAGCTCGACGAGACTGAGTTGTCTCATGAAAAACGTGTTCTTTTAAAAACCTCGCCTTCGGTAAGTATATAACACATTTGTACGTGTATTGTTTGCTTTCCATTTATCACCGCACGTTTTTTGGCTAGAAAGAGTAATGAGCGTTAATACATTTTCATGATAAACAAGTGAAAATCAGGATATTTACGTTTACATTATATACCGATATTAAAGCAACGAATGGTAGTCGGACGGATTGAAATCCCCATAATTATATCATTAATTGTAAAAAGAAAAAATGTTTCAGCGAAATCCGGACCTTATTAACTAAGAGGGGATACAATTAACATATTTATGCAGTATTTGAAAACAAAAAGCACATTTCAAACATACTTAGGAGGATTTGTGGCCGAACGAGTGAAAATTGTCTTGGAGTGTTTGATGTGATACATTTATACACTTCTTGACCACACTTACTTGTTGACCAATGCTATTTCCTCCACCGTGAACAATAAAATCATCGAACAGGGACCCCGTTTACTAAACTGTCAGTATGTTACACAACATAAGTTAGATAAAGTCAAATCACAGTTTAATAATCGTAATATCAAGGTAGAAAAACCATGTGTGTGATTTGAATCTCAAACCTTATAACACTGTACCATTTGATATCTTTACATTTATAATAACAACTTAGGTGTTCAGGATAAATAGCGGCGTCGTTTGAATCTAAAGTATTGTACATGTACCTGCTATCAGTCGGCTTTCTTCAAAGTACCACGTAATGGGGTGCAGGTCGTGTTTGATAAACAAATAGCTGGACTCGGTACTACTAAGTTACACCAGCTTAATGGTCTAGAAATAAAACTTTATAAGCTACGACATTTCCTTATTAACTTATATTAGCGCAACAAATGCAGCTCAATGGACCTCGCTATGATCGACATCAGATCATTTACATAGCTTTCTCCTATATAACTTCATTTGGTTGCTGAGACTTTTCAGAATATATTAGATCATCTATTGCAGACACCTGTTGCTTGACACATATAGGCCATTACCTCTGCCAATATGGAATGTATGAAACTGTCATTTCTTAGTACCTATGTAGCCTGTCAATAAATCTACACAGTCACGTGTGCTGTTATCAAGTGTTTTAAGGAGGCTGCGGGTTTGCATGTGTACGCATATCTTAACAGAATAGTGTAAGAACACTGCTGCCCTTCTGTTACGTAAGTACGCAGCCTCCATTTCTTATTCAAATTAACGCAATTTTATTTACTTTTTTTCACGTTTTGACTAATGTTTTATTGTGGTCGTACCATAACAAGTTCAAGTTCAACATCAGTGTTCGTATGCTGCCTGTGTAGTTGTACCTGTGAGCCGTAATATACACAGCGTAAACACATAACAATTTGATTATAGTGTTTTATCTAACATTGTTTTTGACACAATTATTGCATTGCGTTTTCATTCCATTTCATTCGCGTTTTCATGCATTCCGTTCTCAGGATTCACTTGGTTCAGTTTCCGTCGCAGTACGTAAGTCGTAAGTACTGACTGCACATATTGAAGACCGGTAACTATGTTGTGAGTGCCTGTTACGATGAACTATTAGAGCTTTATAACAGGAAACTAAATTGTAAAGCAAATTAGATTTATCATCTGAGACATGATTTGTGAATGTTGCGTTTTGGAAAGGTGTGGTTGGCACAATATGTACCAATTGAGAAATATGTTTTTTATTATCATGTATACAAAGAATAATGAATATATTTATTCAGGAAATGAAAAACACATTCGAGACATCTTCAAAAAGTTTGTTACATAAACATGACCATTTTGATCTAGAAAAAATAAATGTATTCTTACGAACTATAGATTGCAAACACATAACCTTAATATAGAGACAGGTAGATATAATTATGCAGTGACTCGAAACCAGAGATTATGTACTTTATGTGATCTTGGAGATGTCGAGGATGAGTTTCATTTCATTCTTTAAGGTTATCTTATGTCAAGCCTTATTATCGTATTCGTCCTTCTGTCTTAAAGTTAGGGGTAGTTGCAAACAGTTGTGCTACCATATGTCTTCAAACCTTTTTATTTTATTTTATGAATGACAATACAGCAGGTTTGATATTGACATTTGTTTGTCATTGAAGATTTGCGTCATCCCATAGAGGAGTAGCGCGTTGGAGCATTCACCTATATATTCATTTTTTATTTACATTATGTGTATGTATTGTCCTCATTGTTAAAAATGTTCAGCATCCGGTAACCACCCTGGCACATAAATATTAATTATTGTTCCAACAATTGCATATTAAAAATAACACTAAATTAGCTCAATATAACAAATCGTAATTAAATTTATTAGAGATGGATTACAATGAAATACACATCTGTAAGATTGGAATTTATCTTATTCAGTCTGAAGTTAAGACAAACCCTTGACAGTCTGGCCGAATTAACATTTACAAGACTGTGAATATTTAACTGCACAGACAAAAGTTGAACAGCTACTCGGTAATAACTGCTATTGCTATATGATTTGATATTGCAATAAAAGACGAAGAACATTTTCTGATTGACTGGCATGCATTAAAAGATTATTATAAACAAACATGCTTTTGATCTTATAGCTTCAATATTTTGTCCGCATCTTAGATTGTGAAAGCTGCGCTGGCAATTTTTAGTGCTAGTATCGAACTATACCCTTAGATTGTTTCAATAACGTACCTATTGATATATGCTGTACCTATACATCCTTTACCTAGCACCTCTGTGCATAAGCGTATACAATAAGTGATGCGCAGTATTAGACGTAAATGCATACTCCTGCACGCAGTGGATAGCGAGCTACTCATTATTATTATTCGTATTATTTGACCAGACCTCACCGATAGATTATTTGCTTGGGCATGTACCGAATTCATTAAAGAACCTTGAGATGATAATATGTACATCCCTGATATGTATTGGATGCTTTGTGAAATCGTCAAGTGGAGGTACGTCCTTCATTATTTTAACCACGAACAGCCTACCGAGATCACTTGGCGAAACTATTCACAGACAATTTATAAATTATGCGTCGCTGATATGGGCTAGAAACCATAGATATGGAAAATGCAAATGTGTATTCATTTACTTAACATTATTTTCTACTGCAAATTGATCGTAGCTAGCCGCTATAGATAACAACAGAAATATCGATTCGAATAGTTTATCTTCTTTCGAACCCAGACCGTTTCATTCCATTTCGTTTGCAGCCATTCCTCGCGTGCCATTTCACCTACTTTCTATCCATTCCGTTCCTGTGAGAAAAGCATGGTTCCAGGCAGTGACATTATCTTCGTTCCGTTCCATTTAGGCATTGCTTCATTTTGTTTGTATTCTGTTCTCGTTGCGTATTTGTTGGGTTTTTTTTATTGCGTTTTCATTCCATTCCATGCGTTTTTCAACTGAAACGCTGACACCCCTGTAGTATTGTAGCTGTTCGTAAATTAAAAAAAAAATAAGTCGCATGGTATTCGTTCCTAAGTTGCAATTATTTGGCTACTTGATTAACGAATGCGAAAAGATAAAGATCATCGGGAGGAAGGTAGTTGATATTGGCCACACCAGGCCATGTCTACGGTTAGTAAATAAGTCGTAGTCCATGGTAACTGAGGGGGATACTAACAGAAAGATACATATTGTCATGATAACTGAGGGGGATACTAACAGAACGATACATATTGTTATGTTAACTGAGGGGAATACTAACAGAAAGATACATATTGTTATGTTAACTGAGGGGGATACTAACAGAAAGATCTATATTGTTATGTTAACTGAGGGGGATACTAACAGAAAGATGCATATTGTTATGATAACTGAGGGGGATTCTAACAGAAAGATACATATTGTTATGTTAACTGAGGGGAATACTAACAGAAAGATACATATTGTTACGATAACTGAGGGGGATACTAACAGAAAGATATATATTGTTATGTTAACTGAGGGGGATACTAAAAGAAAGATACATATTGTTATGTTAACTGAGGGGGATTCTAACAGAAAGATACATATTGTTATGATAACCGAGGGGGATACTAACAGAAAGATACATATTGTGATGTTAACTGAGGGGGATACTAACAGAAAGATGCATATTGTTATGTTAACTGAGGGGGATTCTAACAGAAAGATACATATTGTTATGATAACCGAGGGGGATACTAACAGAAAGATACATAATGTTATGATAACTGAGGTGGATACTAACAGAAAGATACATATTGTGATGTTAACTGAGGGGGATACTAACAGAAAGATATATATTGTTATGTTAACTGAGGGGGATACTAACAGAAAGATATATATTGTTATGTTAACTGAGGGGGATACTAACAGAAAGATGCATATTGTTATGTTAACTGAGGGGGATTCTAACAGAAAGATACATATTGTTATGTTACCTGAGGGGGATACTAACAGAAAGATACATATTGTGATGTTAACTGAGGGGGATACTAACAGAAAGATGCATATTGTTATGTTAACTGAGGGGGATTCTAACAGAAAGATACATATTGTTATGTTACCTGAGGGGGATACTAACAGAAAGATACATAATGTTATGATAACTGAGGTGGATACTAACAGAAAGATACATATTGTCATGATAACTGAGGGGGATACTAACAGAACGATACATATTGTTATGTTAACTGAGGGGGATACTAAAAGAAAGATACATATTGTTATGATAACTAAGGGGGATACTAACAGAAAGATACATATTGTGATGTTAACTGAGGGGGATACTAACAGAAAGATTCATATTGTTATGTTAACTGAGGGGGATTCTAACAGAAAGATACATATTGTTATGATAACTGAGGGGGATTCTAACAGAAAGATACATATTGTTATGTTAACTGAGGGGGATACTAACAGAAAGATGCATATTGTTATGTTAACTGAGGGGGATACTAACAGAAAGATATATATTGTTATGTTAACTGAGGGGGATACTAACAGAAAGATGCATATTGTTATGATAACTGAGGGGGATTCTAACAGAAAGATACATATTGTTATGATAACTGAGGGGTATACTAACAGAAAGATACATATTGTTACGATAACTGAGGGGGATACTAACAGAAAGATATATATTGTTATGTTAACTGAGGGGGATACTAACAGAAAGATCTATATTGTTATGTTAACTGAGGGGGATACTAAAAGAAAGATACATATTGTTATGATAACTAAGGGGGATACTAACAGAAAGATACATAATGTTATGATAACTGAGGTGGATACTAACAGAAAGATACATATTGTGATGTTAACTGAGGGGGATACTAACAGAAAGATTCATATTGTTATGTTAACTGAGGGGGATACTAACAGAAAGATTCATATTGTTATGTTAACTGAGGGGGATTCTAACAGAAAGATACATATTGTTATGATAACCGAGGGGGATACTTACAGAAAGATACATATTGTTATGTAAAATGAATCTTTCTGTAAGTATCCCCCTCGGTTATCATAACAGAAAGATACATATTGTTATGATAACTAAGGGGGATACTAACAGAAAGATACATATTGTGATGTTAACTGAGGGGGATACTAACAGAAAGATGCATATTGTTATGATAACTGAGGGGGATACTACCAGAAAGATACATATTGTTATGATAACTAAGGGGGATACTAACAGAAAGATACATAATGTTATGATAACTGAGGTGGATACTAACAGAAAGATACATATTGTGATGTTAACTGAGGGGGATACTAACAGAAAGATTCATATTGTTATGTTAACTGAGGGGGATACTAAAAGAAAGATACATATTGTTATGTTAACTGAGGGGGATACTAACAGAAAGATACATATTGTTATGATAACCGAGGGGGATACTTACAGAAAGATACATATTGTTATGTAAAATGAATCCAAAAGACGTTCTCATTATATAGGACGTTTTTGAAACTGGCGGTAGTTTTTTTTCAGGAAAATCATATGAAAAAGGAAATGGTTTGAGATTTTTCATAAATATGAAAGGTATTGAGGAAGTGGTTATAAAACACTAAAATTTGTACATTTTACAACAAGAACTATTTCCTGCACTTTACAAGGGCGTTCCCGTTTTTGCTGATAAAAAACATTGCTAGAATCCTTTACCCTCTCACGAGCGATATTATTCTGAAAGCGTGACCACCGCGTCATCACATAATGCAGCGTAACTAGGATCGCATCATCAATTTTGTCACGATGCACTTAGTTATCATTTCAATAAGTTTGTCAGGGACGTAACCAGGACTATGAGTATGTGGAAGCATACGAAGCNGTTTTCAAAGGCGTAATAATTAGTTCCATATGTACAAGAAACATTTTCTTTAAATAGTCAATAAAAGAAACAATATCAATGAAATAATGAATTAACTGAGGGCCCAGGATTATATGAATTGTTAAAGTTTATCACATAAAGTTCTACAATGTGATCCTTGTTAAAAGTATACTTGAAAAAATTACGTGGAAGCCCGTCCGTGCGTACGCCTGGTTACGTCCCTGTTTGTACGGTAGGAAAGTATATGTGTATTGATAAAAAGATATAAGACCTTGGGATAACATGTTTTATGTTATCAATTCAGAAATGCACTTCAAAGTCGAATCCATCTGTCCAAAACATTCTTGAACGCCATAATGCAAAAAAACACTGTCACTGGATACGTATACTATTTCAAGCAATAATTCTACAAATATAAAAGCAATAATCAAAAAACACTGTCACTGATCAAGTGTAGCTGAATCGAGTCACTTCGGTACATATATAACAACTATTGTACATACGCTTACAGCGTGTAGCCGAATCGACATCGATTATGTTGACAACTCGTACATGTATTTTACACCTTTGTGTGCATACGCTTCACTGGTCATTTGTCCGATGAATGTAACAGTGTACATATCGTACTATTCATCGACACGTCACATAGAACATGTTATTGGTTGTGTAAAAAGAACTTTTAATAATACAGTTCCCAAGTCTTGCAAGGGGCGCAGCAGTTTGATTTTAGTTTCTTCAATATCCCTTAGCAAAAGACACAAATTAAAACCCCACGATTCTACAGGGTTTCAAACTTCAGCATTCTGTATTGTCAAGGATAGCGCCCCACTTACCCTGGGATATCCGTCATCCTGCCATTTCAGTAACTCTTTGCTTTAAGAATTCGATTGTGATCGTTGTTATTTTAATGGCATTTTAATTCAAAAATAAAACTGAACTGTTGAAGGCATTTTTGTATCTAACAACGTATTTAACTTGATATTTAATCATACATTTTTTTACAAAGATTGCCAACTCTTTAAAGATCGAATACAGTACATGTTACTGCTAGTATCCGTACAACTCAGTGTCATATACTTTATCGCAGTGTTCGGTTATGAAACATGGCGGAGTTGAAGACAATAACACCGCCAGGAAATCTGCCAGCCCGAAATAAGGTCAGCCAGTCAGATGAAAGGATTGCCGCTGAGAACGAAAAGGATGAAAACGGCGAGGAAGCGACGTGCAGTAAAGTTATGAGGACCATGGCGCTAGTATGTGTATGGATAGCAATGGTATGTAATGTAATTACTTTGTAACAATATTAATTTCTGTAACCCTTCAGCGAAACAGCATGGCACATGTTCAAGGTGCAATTATAGGGTCGTACATTAATTAGGAATATCAAAAAAAAGATGATTCTATGGGAAAAATAATAATCACATGTACAAAAGGAAAATATCCATAGCTTTCTCTAAAATTCTGTGTCCGGTGTATTACAGGGAACATATATGGAAATAAATGGTCCAACATTGAAAGACTTAGTTCTAAGAACCGGAAGTAGCTACGAGGATATCACGAGTGCTGTATCCGGTCGAAGTGTTGGCAAATTTGTTGGTGTAGTGATTGGGGGACTGCTAACTGACCGGTTCGGACGTTACTGTGACCTCTTCCTTGCTCTATCGCTTACGGTAGCTGCGACAGCAGTGGCCATTGTGCCGTAGATTAACCAAACCGAGGTTCTATGGGTCTTCTATTTCCTGCTTGGCATCACGATCGGGACCATTGACATTGGTGAGACTGTTATATAATGTAAATAAAACCTGATATATATTTTACAATTATGAAAGAAGTTCGCTCAACTTACATGAATCAAGCTTTTTGGCCAGGATCCATGCGCGTAGAGGGTCTTAATGTTTGAGGAAACCAGATAACCTGGTGAAAACCCCAAAGGGTAGAGCAGGTGACACTATACCATTTTTAAGTCCGATTGGGGAATCGAACCTCGGCCGTCTTGGTGAAAGGGGAGTACCCTATCCACTACCTCACCCGACTACAGGAATTAACAATTCAATATAACTAATGTAATTAGCGATAATAACAAGGTATTTTTTTATTAACGTAATTTTCTTTGAATCTTTTATCCATTGTGAAAACTGTGTGTATCGTTGAACGGGAAACGACATGTGTATGTAATGCCTTATCCTGCAATGTTTCGATAGCATTCGTGTGCATTACACGCCCAATCCAATATCGACTGGAATACCGTGTTAATATGTGACGCCTTGTTACTCTAGTGACAGCTGCGGATCACATAATCGTTATGAGCTATATTTAATGTATAAGATATCGTGTGATATGATTTTATGTGTAACGAGAGGTGTCACGAAGCGAGTAGAGCAACGCCATTTCGATATGTACAATCATAGTTTCTTTTTAATTCCAAAACCATGTTTGTATTTTGTAGAACATGTTTTTGAACCAAACCAAAATCAGCCAAGCGTTCAGTCTGCACTATGCGAGTCAGATGGCGCAATTAATCCAAACGGTATTAAATGTCTCAGCCAAACAATGTATAACATGAACATAACACTGTAATCTATCGGATAAATCCATGGCGCCTAACATAGTCAATATCGTGTATCCATCTGTCATGTCATCTTAACTGATCTTCTTTACATTTTTAGCTAGACAGAGAATAGTGTTAGTCAGTTGGAAGGAACAGGCAGCCTCTCCGATACACATTGTTCACCTTGGTTACGGCGTGGGCGGATTTATCGCTCCTCTTATGGCTAATCCATTCCTTGTTAACACCGAGACCGTTGGACCTAATGTAACCAACTCATCTGTTTCAAACATCTCCGTGATGCTGATGTCTACTATCTCCATTCCTACTACGACCACAACAGTTATTATCTCCCCTTCCACAATAGAATATGCGTACGGTAGTGTTGCTGGTCTGACCATCGTGATGGCTGGTGTTCTTTACATGAATCAATGTAAAACATCTCCACGTTTCAAACACAAGAAAGGCAAAACGGAAAACAGCGAACAAAAACTTACGAGAACTAGAAAATGGCGGGAGATGCTAAACCCTGCATCCTGTGCTGAGGGCAGCTTCTGTTTCGGCTCCCTGATTCTAGTAACATTGTTTCTGAAATATTTCGTCTACACTGCTGTTGACAGGGTGTTTTCGACCTTTATCAGGTCGTATTCCATCGATCAACTTCATTTCAGCAATGATGACGCCAGCTACCTAAACACATTGTATTGGATATTCTACGCTGTAGGTAGGTTTGTAGGGTTCGTGTCCGCTAGGTGGATTAGTGTGAAGATTCTCCTTGTCATAGAATCTGTCTGCTTGGTCGGCGTCAGTGTAGGTCTGTTCACCGTCGGAACTTATTCCCAAACAGCACTTTGGGTGTTAACGGGAATGTCCGGATTTTTCATAGGGCCCATTTTCCCGTCGGGGATCGCATGGGGTGACCTTCACATTGAATTGACAGGACTAGCCATCACATGGGTTCTCCTAGGAAGCTCCTTTGGGGGTCTTGCTTTTCTGAAATTAGGTGGACATGCTTACGATCATTTTGGCGGTATCGCCTTTGTATATATGGTAATGATTTTGGCGATTGTGGTTTTCTGTGTCGATATCATGCTTACAATTCTCAGTATGGCAAAGAAACGTATCACTAGACAAACGTATAATGTAGAGCCACACGACAAGCAACTTCAATCTTAATACCCGCTAATACTGTGTCTAAGGACTCGTATCACTAGACAAACGTAAAGTGTAGAGCCACACGACAAACAACTTCAATCTTAATGCCCGCTAATACTGTGTCTAAAGAAACGTATCACTAGGCAAACGTATAGTGTAGAGCCACTAGACAAACAACTTCAATCTTAACACCCGCTAATACTGTGTCTAAAGAAACGTATCACTAGGCAAACGTATAGTGTAGAGCCACTAGACAAACAACTTTAATCTTAATACCCGCTAATACTGTGTCTAAAGAAACGTATCACTAGGCAAACGTATAGTGTAGAGCCACTAGACAAACAACTTCAATCTTAACACCCGCTAATACTGTGTCTAAAGAAACGTATCACTAGATAAACATATGGTGCAGAGCCACACGACAAACAACTTCAGTCTTAATACCCGCTAATACTGTGTCTAAAGAAACGTATCACTAGGCAAACGTATAGTGTAGAGCCACTAGACAAACAACTTTAATCTTAATACCCGCTAATACTGTGTCTAAAGAAACGTACCACTAGACAAACTTATAGAGTAGAGCCACACGACAGGCAACTTCAATCTTAATACCCGCTAATACTGTGTCTAAAGAAACGTATCACTAGACAAACGTATAGTGTAGAGCCACTAGACAAACAACTTCAATCTTAATACCCGCTAATACTGTGTCTAAAGAAACGTATCACTAGACAAACATATGGTGCAGAGCCACACGACAAACAACTTCAATCTTAATACCCGCTAATACTATGTCTAAAGACTCGTATCACTAGACAAACATATAGTGTAGAGCCACATGACAAGCAACTTCAATCTTAATACCCGCTAATACTGCGTCTAAAGACTCGTATCACTAGACAAACATATAGTGTAGAGCCACACGACAAGCAACTTCAATCTTAATCCCCGCTAATACTGTGTCTAAAGAAACGTATCACTAGATAAACATATGGTGCAGAGCCACACGACAAACAACTTCAATCTTAATACCCGCTAATACTGTGTCTAAAGAAACGTATCACTAGACTAACATATAGTGTAGAGCCACACGACAAGCAACTTCAATCTTAATACCCGCTAATACTGTGTCTAAAGAAACGTATCACTAGACAAACGTATAGTGTAGAGCCACACGACAAACAACTTCAATCTTAATACCCGCTAATACTGTGTCTAAAGACTCATATCACTAGAAAAACGTATAGTGTAGAGCCACACGACAAGCAACTTCAATCTTAATACCCGCTAATACTGTGTCTAAAGAAACGTATCACTAGACAAACTTATAGTGTAGAGCCACACG